AAATGAATGCACAGATGGGCCCCTCCACAGGTATGTCTGTGTTTTTAGAAATGCTGAAGCTCAATTAATGCTCTTAATACCTCTGTCATTGTATGGCACTCTTATAACACAATGCTTGGGGTGTTGTTCCGTTCGGTGGTACGCAGCCAGGAACTCCCGCTGTGTAGCATCAAACTCGCAATTTCAATGTGGGTATAGGTGCTTGAAATGGGGGAAACCTGAAAAGACTGAGGTACTATACAGAACACGCTCGAATACATAGGAGCTTGGTAGTGTACAATGCTTGGTTGGAACTTGCGAAGACGGTCACAACAAGAAAGAATAAACCAGTTGGGCACCGGGGTGCCGCGATGTATGTAATGGACCAAATACAGAATGTATTGAACTTTATATCTCTGAACCTTTCCTTCGGGAAGCCTGCGATAGTCGTGGTATTGGCAAGTGACCAAGCTTCCATTTCCAGGCATTTACAGACTAGAGTAGGTGAAAATAATCATAATTCACAATTCACATTGGATGATAATTTATCATTCTAAATGCAGCCCCTTTCCATATGACTGAATTCACAAAAATCAATACAGCAATAACCTAGGTGGGGACTATGTTAGTTGGCACTGTCCGGATGCTCAGTCACAAGGTATTCTGGAATAAAGGGAGCAAATAGAACCAGACTATGATCCAGATAGCTGGATAACATGGACAGAGACCACTAATAAATTCCCCCAAATCAGCTCTCCTAAATCTAAGTGATGTTCTCTGAGAATGCAAAAGCTTCCAAAGCTGATATTCTCGCCTAATTAAATAACCACTCCAAGCTTCGCCGCTGTCATCACCCGCAATGTCCTTTCTATGTTACTATTCTTTGACCTTCCTTAGTCCACCATGTTGTTCTGAACCATATCAATGACCTTGCATACCTTTTTCTTCCTTTTCTTCTAGCTGTTTCAGGGCCCCAGCATGCGAAGCACACATCTTCCAGTGCCCTGAAATGAACGCAGTGAGAGGAAGGGAAAAACTAAACCTGCCTGTGACAGGCGTACCCACAACAGAGAGGGATTACTATTTAGAAAGGTTATTTCCATGCGCGTTTCTCTTTCGTCAGCGCCCCATCTCCTTTCATCTCTAGTATAGCTTGGCATTTAGTTGCTGCAGCATCTATGTATGACTCTTATTCTTCATTAGGGACTAGTCCCTGAGAGCTCCACCTCCTTATTGCAACGACCCTATACATAATTGCCGTTCAACCAGATTCTGCAATCATGTATAAGACCTGCCATTGAGATAATTCATGCATGGAAACTTCTAATGTGAGGGCAATTTCATGCTGTATTGCTGTAAGTTTTCTAACATCAGATTTTGCTCATTGTCATCTGACTGCTTCAACCCCCAAGTGCTTGCTTTCTAAGAGAGATACTAGCTACATCTATCTTGGCAACAGTAATAGTGATGGCGTAGCTCTGATCCTGATATTTGGAATGTTGGTGATAAATTAGCAGTGATCTACATGCTCTTCTATGTTTAAGAAAGCGCTGATTTTCAACTGTGGAAACCTGTATCTCTAGCCTCCCTTTTCTTGTGTGGTTATGTCATGTCAAAGTTCTGGACACCTGTAAGACTGGATACAAGATATATGATTGGCATGATATTCTATTGAACAGTGACTTACTGATTTGGGGATTATACGCCGGTGGTTAATGCCAACTATCATTCTATCACTGTTCTCTCACGGGTGAGATATGGTTGATTAAGTACACAGATAAGACCCGTCAAGCACAGTATTAGCTTAAAATTGTCTTTCCTTCTAATCTGCCACAGTAATTCTGCCCCTTTCTAGAACCGGCCTATACCGGTTCTAAAGAAACTGGTCTTGATGTTTCTCCAAAACGATTGTCACAAAACAAACACCCTGTCAAGATAGAATCTGATGTAGATTTATATCTCTTCTGGCTCCTTGATAGCTGCGGTCTTTGATGGGCGACCTCTTTTTTTTTTTAGTGTCGCATCGGTTGCCTCTGCCTTCGCTGCCCCTGTGTTCGCTGGTCGACCGCGAGCTCTCCGAGGCGCAGAGGAAGGCTCAATCTTAGGGTCGTCCTTATCATGCTGCTCTTCCACTTCAGAGCTAGTAGTTATCTCTTCATCAGAGGGAAGAAGTGTAGAATCAGCCATGTTTAACTGAATGAGGTTAGTGACGCGATTGTGGAGAATTTGATTGGAATGCGCACGCAGGTGAGATTCAGCAGTTATAGTTATACTCAGGATTGATCGACAGCTGTAGTTTGATTTCTTGTTTTTTTTAGAGGGAGAGAGGAAGAGGAGAGGATAAGATAAACCTAATGTGATGGGTCTTTAAGTATTACATGCTTAGGGGAAAAAGTCATGATGTAAGTACATGCCATGACGCAGACATGCTATTACATGCTTAGGGAAAAAAGCCATGATGTAAAGTTATGACACAGATATATTAACAAAGGAGAATATACTGGAAGTCATGCTTAGTTAAGCTCATCAGCAAAGCCTGGATATCTAAGGCATGAGAAATTCATGACTTAAAAAATATGGTAAATACCCCCATGCTGGTTGCAGCACCATAATATTAGAAGCAAGACAACTAAAGCCAATTATTTATCCTTAACCTCCACAGTGGCGCTCCTTAGTTGCCTAAACAATGAGCCTCTTAGAAATACAACAACGAGTTCTCATGAAAATAAAACATCCACACATTCGGAAAACCTGTTGCCATTATACATAACTCTATCAGATATCTGAAAGGCTCCTATGATAGCCAATTGACAAGGTGGAGATCGCGAAGACAAAAAACAGCTACAGTGGCGGAGTGGCTTGGTGCCAGCGTCCACTTCTCATTCCAATTTGCTAGGATCACGTTCGCTCCTTTTATTCTGATAAACAGTGCGTCCATGAGATCTATAATGTCCTCCATCTTGGAGTGGATGAAAATCGACATGATCCTCATCCCCTGGTCATCAATCTGGGTCGATAAGAACTCATCTTGGTCCCTTCTCGCGCCCTTGTCAAATAGAGCAAATCAACTAGCTCACTGAGTTCACCACCCTTGATTGCTCTGTTAGTCTTCCTGCTTCGACTTTCCAGCTTGCTACCTGCTTAAACCTTCATTACATCACGCCCCGCGTTTCCATTTCTTCCTTCTTCATTGTTTCAGGGCCACAGCGTGTGGAGCGCGTGTCTTCCAGTCTAATCATAGATTGTGGGACGTATGCCATGGTTTAGGTCTAGCGTGTATATGAAGTAGAGGTTCACTGATGCTAAGAGTTAGCACATCACACTACCACATAACTTTCCTGCCGCAATCTTTGCATAAGAAACCATGGAAGAGACGCAAATAGAAATAAGAATTAGAATAGAACAGTACAATGGGCTGAAGATATATAGGTTAGTATTCTGCACATATTATGAATATGTGATTGCATAATTGGGAGCCTTCCTACACAGAGTTATTTTGTTCCGTTATGATCTCTCTACGGCACCTAAAACATTGTGTTATATATTCTCATACTTGTTAATTGCCTTGCTGCTGAGATCCAAAGGCACTCTGCCCATCTGAGCCATAGTTATTTCTATTGTCCTTAGTACTGTAGTACTAAAAGTGAAGGCACAGAATCTGCAATGATGCCTCTTTTGGCATTTATACCAAAGCTATCCTGGTCATAGTTGAGAATTTATCCAGTCTTAGCATTACTATTGCTATTGTGTAGTCGGCCTGGCTAATAAAATAACAGAAGTTGGTAGGTTGTCTGAGTAATGATGACTGAAGATCTTATCAGTGTCCTAGGTGTAAAGCTCTTCGCTGGCTTCCTCATCCCTTTTTAGGTGTGTAGAATCCTAGCTAGTCAGTAGATAAATGACAGATTGTGCTCTAGTTTGACTAGTTTGGTGGGTAACTGTGATTTAGTGGGTTTCCAAAAGCAGTGGGTACTAAAGTGAGCTTTGAGCCAGAACTTGTTTAGGTTCTTTAGTAGCAGCAGGTTGTTCTGGGAGAGTTAGCCGGTTTACTTATATTACAGTGCTTGGAAGCTGAACATATATTAGTGACTTTAGATCTTAGAATTTGTTTCTTGTTTCCTAGGTTGTTGGATAGCTGATGCAATGCTTTATGGCACTGTGCTAGGCAGGCTACGTCTTGAATACTTTCTAGGGTCCCATAGATGGTTAGAAGTAGCTCGGCCGGGAGACCTGATGGCGCCATTGTCAATGAAGATTTTTCTTTTAATGCTTCTCAGAGTATTAGGAGCCTCACAGGCTTCACAGCCATGGTTGGTGCTTGCGCCACCCGCGCTAACAGATGGCCCATAAAGCCCCCATAATCACTAACATTCCATTCCCATTGTTCCTGTTAGTATGGAGCTTCAGGTATCCCTCACTAAGGATGGCCAATAAGAATTACTGGAGCGTGCGGGTACAGTTTATCACAAGACCAGACTAATATGGATACCCTATTGCTGCCTTGCCCTTTGGGCACTGATGTGAATCATGTGATTCGCTCTCCCCGCTGGGCTGACTTGTTGATAGATCTGATGAGATGATGAGATTGTTAGAGAGAGTAAGGCTGAAACAAACAATAATTCAGTCACAAATAATAGCAAAAAAACACCAAATAACTGATCAATACTAGATTCTCGCGAACGGACATTCTGAGCATCCTTTTCTAGAAGACTATATCTGTCTACATAATTTTTCATCCACTAATTGTGGACAATGTGAGGCCAACTGGTTAGGTTACTTTTGCCTCGAGTATTCTTATGCAGAATGGAACTTACGAGAATGGGTAACACTGAGAGATCATTGGAGACAACCTGCTACCACGCCGGGGGCAGATGTAACAGGCAGAGCTGCGGATTGATGACACCAAACATCACTCCAACCAGCCTCCAAGGCCAGATTCCTATGTTGGGATAATTAAAGCAAATTCGGAGCATATTAAATATCTAAACCACAGAATGACTAATGTGGTGACGTCTCACAACTTATTCTTGCAAGCTGGAGATGTTACCACTCACAAAGACAACAAGGACAGCTGCATACCTGGTGTTATAGTTAGCAATGTCCGTGGAAGACACTTAGCATAACATACGCAGCAGTTGCCGCAAATATCTCTGCTCGGCGTGCATTCGTCATCAAACCAACACTGAGAGCAAAAACCAGAGTGAAAACAGCCACCAATCCAAGCTTTACTGCATCGGTGGTGGCGAAGTAGAGGCTAGTGATAGAGCCAATCAAAAGAATAGCTGCTAGAAGGGTGCTAATGATAGCGACAATGTTTGAGATGGATTTCTCGCTGAACCGCCCTATACGATGAAGACCATCCCGGGAGAATTCTTCCTATGCCTATGTCAGTGCGAGTAACTCAGGGTAGTAGAACTTATCCAACGCCACTGACATTGACTGGCCAGTAGCGTCTCAGGGTGCTCGACAATATGTCGGCTTCCGGTAATGTACTGAGATTTACCAGGTCATCTGAAATTTCCAAGGCTTTTTTCGCCTGTCCACCAAGCGCAGGATATGGCTTCATAAACCAGTTGCGATACGCATCGAGGACACGCTTGTTGGGCTGCTTCAGTCTCATAATGCCCTCTTGCAAAATGAGAGCCTCATCTGAGAAATACAGTCAACCTTTTGCAACTTTTTTCAGGAATGGCTAGGAACTGTTATCAAAAACATACGATATTCCTTCAGTTTAGCACGTAACCTCACAATCACCTGCTTACGAATTTGTGCTTCCTTATTTCCAGACTCACACTGCTGTGTGAGAGTCTCCCAGGTTCTAGCCGCATCTTTTATATCCATATCGTCGCTCCCCGCGTCGTTGCTATCCAACTCGTTGAAGTGCTTCTCAAGATCCAGCAGCTCACATTGTAGATAGAGCAGATTCCGAGCTGCAAGCTCGCTGAACTTACGGTAGATAAATACCTCGCCATCACAGTCAAGTGCAATCCATCTTGCGACGTTGGCAAAACCCTCCTTCGTGGTACTTGGAGGGGCCCAATCTCGGAGGGGATTTGCGCTTATGTTCATTGGGGCCAGCAGGAATATCGCCGTCGCTCAAGTGCAGGAACAGGCAGTAAAGCACTTGAAAGCTACTATTATAACAATGGTGCTGCTTATCTTTCTTGGGCATGGGAAACACATTAATAATGAAATTAGCGCCGTGATTTCACAATATATACATAGACATCAGATCATACCTAGTCGTCCTAGCCCACCGGACGGGCAAAGATACAGAGAAAACATCTGCCTACATCTCTGAATGTGCTGTGCCCCTATCGGCCTAATAGGATCTTGACAGTGCGTGCGCATGATGTGAGCCTGATGTGGCACTGCAATAGTGCGCCTGATCTCCATTTTCAGGGGCCCTAAAAATTCACCCCTTACCATTGGCCTTCCTTATGCACATATTTGATTACTGCTATTTCTCACACTATATTTAAAAGTCGGTCAACTCCGCTCCTATCTTCACATGTAAAGCTCATTCTTTTGACAAGCCCCGGAATATTAAGTGTTTTGCAGACAAATTCGAGGTAGAATCTCCGTCTACAAAAAAGCTGCTCCTACGTATATTCCGGATCATCAGTCGACTATAGTATACCCAGTTACAGACAATTTAGGGTCCTGGCATGGCTGATCCGCTCTCGCTCGTGCCTCCCCTCCTGTCATTGACCTCCTGGGCCGTCGAGTTGACAAGAAGACTTCATCGGACTATCGGAACCTTTCAGAAACAACGGGAGGCCATCCAGCAGCTCGACGACGAACTACAGAATCTAGAGCAAATCCGATTTAATAGGGCGGCGTTATTAATGACTCCAACGAGGGAGGGTATTCACCGGCTTGCCAACTTAATGGCGCAGAAAGCGAACACAAACTCTTCGGTCATTCCATTGGTATCAAGACGGTATTTCGTAAATGGAGAGTTGAATGACATCCCGGTGGAAGCTTTACCTGATACTGGTGCCGACGAGTGCTTCATATCAAGAGCTCTAGCTTCAAAATTTGGTCTCGAACCTTGTCCAGGTTCACAGAAAAGGATATACCTCGCTAACAACATGACTGTCCTATCTCCTGGAATGGTCGAGGTTCCCTGGAAATTTACAGGAGAGCGAATGATACACACCCTAAACTGCTGGATTCTCCCGGGATGCACGCACGATCTAGTGTTGGGAAGCCATTTTCTAAGGGCGACACAGACACTGACGAAGTTCGTTCAGCGCATTAAATCCGAAATAGTTGCACTACCAAGGCGACTACGCTTGCAGCTCCTAGGTAAAGGAAGCCAGCGGCTGTTAGGTTATCTCGACGGCCATTTTACTGCCGCGTTCCCGGATACAGGTTCAGATGTCATGCTCATCTCGAAGGACTTTGCCGAAAAGCTCGGCCTGGCCATTGATTATGACGGCAGGAACAGGCTCGAGATTGAGCTAGGTGATGGAACCACAGCCCAGACTAATGGAATCGTGAAGGATGTGAGTTGGGACGTCGGTGGGAGGTCGATTCGATGCGATTTCCATGTATTCGATGACCTCTGTGTTGACGTGGTACTGAGCAATAACTATTTGTTCGAGTTTAGAGTGTTCTCAGATTGCTCGGACTACTTCTGTTCTAATCCGGATGAAGTCCTTCCCCAACTCTGCAACATCCGTCTAATTGGACGATATGGAGCGAGTCTGGATTTGCTCGAGGAAGAGTATCTGGAAGATGGTATGTCCTCACTTTACTGAGAAAAGCATTTGGGCTAACAGATCTCCCCGTAAGTGACTTCTCCAGACGCTTTCGGGCCTGAGAAAGTACAGAGAGAACTAGCCAGGCGAGATTGTATACGTGACCAAATATTCGCTTTACCAGAGCACCAGCGGGAAGCAGCTTGTTTAGATGAGGCCGAGAGGCAACGTCGATGGGAGGCCCAGAGACAAACACATCGAACAAGGTTAAAGCTTCAAGGAACATCAGCACAAACAACAAATGGACACCTTGGGACCCCTGAACCTGAACTTCGGCAATGTCGAGAACAACTTTCAGGGGGTTCTCCTATCGTGGACTCGGCCAAAGGGAGTTCCCAGATGAAGAACGCCCGGAGCACCTGGTGGAAGAAAATAAGAGGGAGATTTCCTACTTGATCACCTGCGTGGAATAGTACCAAAAAGATATTGTCATGTTAATCACTACCTTCAGTGAACCCGAAAGCTGGGTTGCTGGCTAAATGCTCAGTGGGTCTTTGATTCCGTATCCAGAAAATTCATACCAAGACCCAAATGAACTGATCAAGTTTGCACAGGCAAGATTGAAACACACAAGCTACATAAAGTAGTAACTGAGACATACTGGGCTTCTCTGGACTTCACGATCTAGGTAGGACTGCCAGGGTAATTAAGGCAGTTATGGGGAACACATGTTGTTAAGGAGTACCTTGCGGCCATACTCAGTATGGCGGAATCTGATCATGTGATCTTCACTTAGTAGATGGCTCCTACTATCTATATGATACTAAACCTACCTTCAATATAATTTGATAACTTAATATTCTTTCTCCTATTTAATAATTCTATAGATAATATATAGTGACTTCGCTGACTGCTACCCCCCTATGAGAATAACTAGTACTGATCTCTCCCTAATTCAGCTGAATTTGGTAATATCTCTATAGCGGACTGCAGACTAGCCAAGAAGGTTTCCTTATTTCTATATTATAAGCTTAGCTAATATATCCTTATTAGCTTTAATTCTATTAATAAAGGTGTTGAAGGCACCCTAATACTTATTGAATAAGGTTTTAGTCTACTTTTAAAACACATAATAAGCAGTATTAATAGCTTGATTATGATCTTAAGTAGAAATGCGCACCTTAGGATTACGCTGATGATTTATTAGGTTAATGTGGGGATCGGTTTGTAAGGTAGTCATCAACTTATTATCAATAACATTATAGAAGTGCTACACTTTTCAGGAGACAATGACTAAGGGGTAGGAATGAATACTGTAATATCCAATGACATTATGGCGCATTAATGGGATAATGGAGTTGTAGGATAGACAGGATAGGCTTGAAGAGGAAGGAATTCGCTGGTGGGAAAGATAAGACTCAAGTACGTGGCTCAGGCAGAGATCCTAGCCCTCGTTCAGTCCTCAGCTTTGGCCATTGCGACCATTCAGCAAGTTTCAAAGTGGTCAGTCAGCATCAAGTAGACACTGATGGTCAGCAATATTGTCTAGGTCCCTGGTGTTTGGATTTTCGATACTGCGTGGAAATCCAAGCAGTGTTGAGGTCGGCAATCCAATGAGCTCCGGTCAATGACGGGAGGTAGTTCTCCCTCAAAGTAGTCAAAATTCTGGATTTCTCGGGATCATGGTTGTGATATGGCTGCAAAAAAGCAGTGGTGTGCTTGCATCAGTGGAGGTTCATACGATAATAACCTCGTTGCCCCTCAAGATGGCAGGCAGGTGTAGTTTTATTTAAGAACCAACTCAAAGCATGAGGCAACCTTGCAGCTCAAAGTGCTCTGTGCAGCGGTGCTTCCAGCAAAAAGGAGAGCGTCAAAAGCCATCCCTGACTCCAGCGGAGATAGATAGCCGAAAGCACAATAATGCACTCAGCCAGTACCAAGTTGTACAAGCCTGCTGATGTCTCTCCTTTGTCAATCCGCAGAGAGTGGTTACATTATGTTGGACACACTCTTGGCTATCTAAGCTAAAATCTGACGTGATCTTAGTGAACGCTCCATGCCGGCCTCTGGTAGTAGATGAAGGGGAAGGACGTAGCTGGCGTGTCCGTTAGGATGACACGGCAATTGTTGTATCAGTAAGCCACCCGAATCAGGGGCTTCTTGCGAGGCGTTCTAAGTTCGCTAACGTTGACTTAAAAACAAGTGGAGAGGCAACTTCGTGAGTGGAGCAATCTCAGCCACATGGGCAGAGTTTCTTACATCAGAATGCTACATCTGAGCTCACCTTCGGTCAATCGTAAGAGAGCATGAGCTTCAGAGTTCCAGAACCATCTCCGGAAAGTAAACTGAGCGATGATTGAGTCCTAAATGATGATGATGCTGGCGACGGAGACGCCTCGAAACCGCTCCATGGGAAATGGTGGGAAAGCGATAATGAGAGCGCAAGAAGTCACTAGACGGCTCAAGTAGTTAGACTGCCGTCGATTTAATAACCCCACTACGAATCTTCTTGCGTTCATTAAGCCGTCGCATGCTGAGTCTTCGCAAATATTTTCTATGAACTATCAATAAGCTTCATGATACGTGCGGCAACAGCTACCAGTAAATCCACCGTGTAGTAATTGGTACCGATGCGACCAGTGTCCGTCTCCATCTGTTTGTCCAACAAGTCCAGTCCTTGGCGCCGTTTCCACGAACTAAGGAGGGTGCACTGCCCCAGTCTGGAAAGTGGGTGAGATTCAAAATCGCCGCCGCTCCCATGGGACCCTTGCAGCTAACGGATTCCATACGGCATTACCCTTCGGGTTGCCTCTCGCGTAAGGCACCATGGCCACTCTTTTGAGTTCTCTGGGCATTGCGACGGTCGTATTTGCGGTTGCTTGGTTCCTACGAAGGACAAAGTCTCCACCCCAAGCGCGACCACTGCTAGAAGTTCCAACGAATTCGGTTACCGCAAGCAAGCTCGCAAAGGCGCTGCCACACATTGTGCTTTTGCATCGCGATGAAGACGCCTTTCGCAAATCAATAAACACCTACTGGGTCCAACAGGAACGCGAGGTCATGCAAGCCTGCATCGTCCAGCCACGTGATGTTGGTGAGTTGGCCAAGGCCATCGTCATCCTTAAACGGGAATATGACGAGCGAAGGACGCTACCAAGGAAAGAATCTGATGATGTTTTGTTCGCTGTCCGGGGCGGTGGCCAGTCTCCTGTACCTGGCGGTGCAAGCGCCAGAGGAGGCGTGTTGATCGACCTCTCTCTGTTTCAGGAAGTGACAGTCTCTGATGACAGAGAAAGCGTAGCCCTGGGAGCAGGGGTGCGTTGGGCTGAAGCATCGCGGATCCTGGATGAGAAGGGTCTCGGCGTTGTAGGAGGCAGAAGCTCTGATGTCGGTGTGGCTGGGTATACATTGGGGGGTGAGTATAACTGTTTCTGTCTTAACATATTTTGAACTAACTCTATAGGCGGTATATCCTTCTTCACACCACGCTTCAGTCTGGCCTGCTCGAATGTCCTAGCCTACGAAGTCGTTCTCGCCTCAGGTAAGATTGTTACGGCCACTGCCTTGTCGCACCCCGATCTTTGGCGTGCCCTTAAAGGCGGCTCGAACAATTTCGGCATCGTTACCCGCTTTACAGTGCGCTGCTTCCCGTCCACGCAAATCTGGAGTGGGTTCATGTACGCTCCCATTTCCCAGTCCACCAAGGCGCTCATGGCCTTACATGAGAGTGCAAAACACGCCGATCCCAAAATATGCGGAGCGGCTGTCGATACCCACGCTACAGCGCCTATCGCCTGTTTCACCTACATACAGGGGTTAGGCATGCAAACAGTCACGGTCCATCTGGCCTACACAAAGCCACCGGAAGAGCCCAAGAAATGGCCGGTTTACTGGAAGAATTCGGGGTTCGCAACTCTCTGGCGGTTCTGGAGCACCTTTAAAGTCCACACTGTGACGTCCGCTGTGATTGAGATGAGCGGCACCTGTCCACCAGGCAAAAGATGGTCCTTCGGCACTACGACCATCAAGAACGATTTGCCTACAATGTTGGCTGCACGTGCCGCCCATGAGGAGGCCATCACCTCGTTACGGAAGGTCAAGGGGTTGATCTGGACGATTGCCATGCAACCGTTCCTGCCCTCGTGGGCAGCGAAAGGTGACGCAAACGTTCTCGGCATTCATGAGGAAACGGATGATGCGCTCCTCATCCTCAGTTTCTCCGTGTATTGGCGGAGGGCCGGGGATGACAAGGATGTCTACGCCTCTATACGCAAAACCATTGAGAAAATCGACGCGTTCGCCACGGCCAATGGGACAGACCATCCATTCCGCTACCTGAACTACTGTGCGCAGTGGCAGAGACCGTTGGAAGGATACGGCGAGGAGAATCTGCTCTTCCTGACGGAGGTCAGCAGAAAGTATGACCCGGACGGGCTGTTTCAGAGAGGCTGCACAGGGGGCTTCAAGCTCCATCCTCAAATCTAAAGCTGTAAGTATGCACTCCCACCTGTGTACTATGCAGCACATTAATGAATTTGACAGTCTCAAGAGTTGGCCTCAATACTTTGTCTAATCTTGCTAGTGGTCCGCTCCCTGAACGCCTGTCAGCGATTCTTACCGCGCGGAGTAACTAAAGGATTTACAGAAATGTTTTGATTTGACCGATACTATCGTGGTTCCAAGTGTTCAACCGGCGAATTCCCCATGCGCGAATTTTACTGTATCTTTTCCGATTTCGCATTGTTTTGAGCCGGTTAGAAGGATCAGATGTTCATCCCTCCGCATTTGTGTCAATACATTCACCATACAATAATAACTCGTGCGGATTATCCAACAGGGCCTTATTATTCTTACTGTTTTGACTAGTGCCAGTACAGCGGATTAAGACAAACAAACTTTCAAGATATCTCCTGCTTATTCACCCTCAGCAAGTCGCAGCGTTTCACCCGCGTTCACTAGACTTGGCTTTATACTGGGGCGCCATAGTAAATACAATAAAATCCTCTAGGCAGTTTCCCTGGTGGGCTTAGGCTGATGACTACAAGGTTTTGGTTGTCTAG